TAGGCTCTTCCCTCCAAGTGTGCTCCAGAATATTAACCCCTGGCACTCTGCTCCACTGAGGCAGGTGAAACCTCCCACTTGGCTCAAAGCGCATCTTGGAAAAACTGTGGCTTTCAATGCGGAACACACCAACCTACAGTAAAAGAAAAAAGTAAAAAAGCAATAAGAAATAAAATGTAAACTGCCATACTTGTCTCATGTCTGCCCCCTACATTTGGATGTTGCTGTTGCAGTGTGTCCATCAGAGACATCAGGTCATTGTGTTGATACGGCATGACGATCTGATCGATGTCGTGCAAAAGGACGTAACGAGAATTCTCCATGGCTCTGTAAAGACACTCGTTAAGCTTGGTGTTCTGCCCATAGTAGTKTATATCTCCTCCATGTTGTGAGAACAGCCAGCCTTTGGATGGATTCATGTGCTTTTCGATGGGCCAAAGAACTATTTCCACAAATCCTTCTTGGGCGTAGCTCTGCAGGAGACGGTCAAGATCAGGACCACAGCTGGTGTTGTAGACCACCACTCTGTTTATTCCGAGCAACCTTGGACAAAAATGATATACTAATTAAAAACACAGATTCCTCTTAAAATAAAAATGGTCTGAATTGGTCTGGTTTGCAGTTTTTAGAGCTAATTGGGGGAAATAACTGTGACTGCTTTTATTATATTTTATCTTTTTTTAAATAAAATACAGCAATGTCTTGCCCAATAAATGATGAAAAGAAAAAACTATTTTTTCCCAATAGGTTTAGCAATTAAAGGGGACCTAATATGCCAAATTCACTTTTTTCAGGTTTTTTTTTTTTTACTTACTTTTGGGTCTGTACTGCTTCTAAAAGCAGTCCAAGCACACAAAAAATGCACTTGGAAGTATTTTTACTGTAATTAAATGCATTTTTCTGTGTCTTCAAATGGGCTGTTTTCAAACACCGCTACTTGTGATGTCACAAGTTGCACCCTAGCCCACCCCAACCTGAGCCCAGCCCGTCCAATGGTAACCCAAGCAGAGACTCTGCCCACTTCTTCACACGGTTCTGATGTTTTAGAACAGTCATGAAGAACAGAGATGTGTAGCTTAATTTTATTTTTATTTAAATTTATTTTTGTTTTTAATGGCAATGTTCTAGCAATATTAACAAAGAAAGTTGTAGTTTGTGTAAATAATTTCACCACGGACTACTTTGGAAAAATAGTACTTTCTACTGAAAGGAAACTGACAGTAAACATCTGGTGGAGGGCAGAGTTAACGTAAACAAAATGTTGGGAGGGGGTTTCAAGAGCAGCTTATGCTTACAGCACATTCTGAAGAGAGCTAAAGAACAGGCAGAACTGAAAAGGTGAAATTTCATTATCTGAGATTAATTTTGTGAATTAAATTAAACTAGAAGCACTCGGAGAGTGCAAACCTCCGCCAAGACCAATTTCCCCCATCCTGTAATAGAGTTAATGTGCAAAAGCAGAAATGGAAACACATTTGCCGAATTAGTTCTGATGTAGCGAACATTTAAGCAGGCAGTATGCAAGGAATTTCGTTCCGGTGGAGTCTGATGTGAAAAAAAGAAAAAAAAAGTCAGACTCGTCACCCAACGTTATTCAACGTCAAACTGGTGTCGGATTAAGCTCCTAAGTTTTCATCAGTCACATTTTACCGTGTAAAATGTCTGTTTTATCCCTTTGTATGAGTTTGTAAAGGTTTGACTCTCTTTATAAAGTGCTTCCTGGCTCCCCCCGTCTCCAAATTTTGAGGCCCGGCCGGAAGCTCCGTGCTTACAAGCCTAGTAAAGAGAAACTGTTTTGATTGATTGTTTGGGAAATGTGGTGTGTTTGAGGAAATGGGAAAATAGGTTTCATGGTGCAGTGAGGCACTTCCTGGTCACAAAACGTTGTGTAAACGCCCATCAATTGTGTAAAAATGCACACGTTATGGCAAAAATTATTCATCATTAAATCTGGTTTTAACATTACTTTTGTAAAGTTTTGAAGTCCGTGCTGTCCAATCCAGCTCATTGTTTTTTACAGAAGCCCTGTGAAAGCATCTCAGCTTTGCCAATCTCAGAGTGTTAAAAGAAAAAAAATTCCTGTATCCATATCGTGATCCAGAACATCACCAAAATGTAAAGGTGTGTTCCTTGGCCCAGTACCCACATGTGTTAAAAATGTCATGACAATCYGTCCACAGGTTTTTGAGTAATGTTGTCCACAGACAGAAAGAACGACAGACAGACCGACAGTCAGACATACGCGACCGAAAACATTATCTCCTCGCCCTTGGCAGAGGTAATGAACATGTTTTGTATAGCCCACAGATGGATGTTCTAGGACACCCATATTAGGTCACCTTTAAACATGGATTACTACTGTGACTAAAATGCTTGATTTCACACCACTGCGTAAACGACCTGTGCAATTTCTATTTCTAAAAAATGATGAGGCAAAAACAGAAATCCACAAAAAAGGGGAAGGGGTTTCTGTGTTTCTTGTTGCATTGACAACAAGAGTTTGTTGTTGTGTGAGAGAAGTTTGTCCAAGACAAGATTGGTCTGTTTGACTTTTGAGGGAGTAGTTGATTTAAAATGTGACAGGTTGGCTTGGCTATTTTGTCTGGGGTTTGAAGAACGGAAGGCAGCTGGGGATACGTTTAGCTTGGTTCAAAAAGCCAGACAGCACATATTTATGAATATAATTATTAATTTTAGTCATAACTTGAGATATAAAGGCGTTAACTGTAAAAAAATTTCAAAGCTATACAAATGGAGGGATGTGTAACAATTTGGCTTGGTCAAAACAGCCCTAACCAGCCTGTAAAAAAGATTGCCATCTTTAACATGGAGGACATTCACACCAAATTTGAATTCAATAAATTATGTTTACATTTTTATTCAAAACATTGTTCTGTTTAAACAATAAATTGGCTGTCTATTAGGGATGCAAGTTACCGATTAATTAATCTAAAGTTAATTGATCTTCTCGATTGATGATTAATTGATAAAACAGCCATTTTCTTAAAAACCTGACATTTCTCTTGAATCAAGGGCAGTGCTGGCTCTAGCCATTTTGGTGCCCTAGGCAAGTTAAAGCACAACCCCCGCCCCCATGTCCCACCCACCCCAATTTAAACCCCTAAAAACAAGTTTGACAGTGTAAGGTACTATGGTAAACTTAGATTTATTGGCTTTCCCAGAAAGCCAATAAATAACATACATGTCAACTTGTATAGATTGTCCTTAAGTTATAAGGATTTTACATCATTTTGCAGGTATATGGACGTATAGAGCAATCTTTTGAATTTTTTCAAGTCTTACGGATTTTTTCAAAAACCTCATTTTCAAATTTATCTAACATGTCAGAGCCATGATTTAAAAAATAAATAACATTAAATAGCCATTTTCCAACCTGTTCTGCCGGTAGAAATAAGTTTTGAAATTTTTCCGCTCTACTTTCCTCTTGCTTTGCAGCGGGGGCTTTCACGTCCTCAGCGAGGCTGACAACCCCCCCTCCTACTCCCGCGGGTGTGAGTTTTATGGATTTTTTGCTAAATTTACAGACTTTTGAGGCTTTTTATACAGGTAAACGTCCGAAGAGGTTGACATGTATGGGACAACAAAATGCAGACTTGTTATTGAGTTTGTCAACACGAACCGCTACCTGAGAGGCACTACTAACCCCACCCCCGTCAGAGAGTCAGAGCAGGACGAGTCAGTGCAACGTCAATCAAATGAGAGAGAGGGTGGGGGGCGATTGCTGCATTGGGGGAGAAAATGTTTTATGGGTAGAGTAGTTTATTTTTCCTGTAATACTTCATTATAGTTTAAGACAAAACTAATTGAAAGGGGCGCTGAGCAGAGTTACAACCAGGGATTACAAATAATTACTTTTTTCTTCTGCAGTTTGGCGCCCCCTCCAGCAGATGGCGCACTATGCCGCAAAAAAAAGAGATGCCATCCTAAGGTCACCAAAACGGATTGCCTCAACACCTTGGCTGTGCCTAGAAATTCTGTCCATAAAAGTTATGAACAGAATTAGTGACAAAGGACAACCTTGGTGGAGTCCAACTCTCATCAGAAACGAGTCCGACTTATTACCGGCAATGCTCCGCTACTGCTGGTGTGCTGCTCAGGATGGAAGACTGTGATGAAGCAAAGTTGTCGCGCAGTCTGCTGGCTTTTTTATATTTATTGTTTTTTGTGTACAGTGTCCTGAGGCAACAGTTGTTACTTGGCGCTATATAAATAAACTGAATTGAAATGAATGCGGACCAAGCTCTGGCACTGGTCGCACAGGAACCAAGCTCTGGTACTGGTTGCACAGGAACCAAACAGCCTCTATCAATGGACCTGGTACCCCATACTCCCAGAGTACCCCCCACAGGAGTCCCTGAGGGACACGGTCGAACGCCTTCTCCAAGTCCACAAAACACATGTAGACTGGTTCCGCGAACTCCCATGCACCCTCCAGGAACCTGTTGAGGGTATAGAGCTGGTCCGCTGTTTCACGACCAGGACAAAAACCACACTGCTCTTCCTGAATTTGAGATTTGACTATCCGACGGACCCTCCTCTCCAGGACCCCTGAACAGACCTTACCAGGGACACTCAGAAGTGTGATCCCCCTATAGTTTGAACACACTCTGTGGTCCCCCTTTTTAAATAGGGGGACCACCACTCAGGTCTGCCAATCCAGGGGAAGTACCCCCAATGTCCACATGATATTGTAGAGTCGCCTCAACCAATGCAGCCCCACAACATCCAGTGCCTTAAGGAACTTCGGGCGAATCTCATCCATCCCCGGCGTCTTGCCACTGAGGAGCTTTTTACTTACCTCAGTGACCTTGGCACCAGAGATTGGAGAGTCCGACCCAGGGTCCTTGGGCTCTGCTTCCTCATGGGAAGACGTGTCATTGGGATTGAGGAGGTCTTCAAAGTATTCTGCCCACCGACCCACAACGTTCCAAATTGAGGTCAGTAGCACACCATCCCCACCATAAACAGTGTTTGTGGTGAACTGCTTTCCCCCACTGAGATGCCGGATGGCAGACCAGGATTGCCTCAAAGCTATACGGAAGTCTTTTTCCATGGCCTCTCCGAACTCCTCCCATGCCCGAGTTTTTGCCTCAGTGACCACCTGAGCTGCAATCTGTTTGGACTGCTGATACCCATCGGCTGCTTCCGGAGTCCCACGGGCCAAAAAGACCTGATAGGACTCCTCCTTTAGCCTGACCACATCCCTCACCACCGGTGTCCACCAGCGGGTTCGAGGGTTGCGGCCACACCATGTACTGACAACTTACGGCCATCTCAGGTAAGCCGCCTCAACAATGGAGGCATGGAATGTGGCCCACTCGGACTCAGTGTCCTGCACCTCCCCTGGAACATGTTCAAAGTTCTCCAGGAGATGTGAGCTGAAGCTCCATCTGACAGCAGACTCCGCTAGACATTCCCAGCAGACCCTCACTGGCATCCTCCCCCACCAACGGAACCAACTCACCACCAGGTAGTGGTCAGTTGACAGCTCCTCCCCTCTCTTCACCCAAGTGTCCAAGATATGCGGCCGCAGATCAGATGAAACGACAACAAAGTCTATCATCGAACTGCAGCCTAGGGTGTCCCAGTGCCAAAAGCACATATGGACACCCTTATGTTTGAACATGGTGTTTTGTTAAGGTCAATCCATGATGAGCACAGAAGTCCATTAACAAAACAGCTCAGGCTCAGATCCGGGGGACTGTTCCTCCCAGCCACTCTTCTCCAGGTGTTACAGTCATTACCCATAGCGTTGAAGTCCCCCAGCAGAACAAGGGAGTCTCCTTTAGGAGCGCTCTCCAGCACCCCCTCCAAGGACTCAGGGGGACTGAAGGGCAGCTGTGGTAGAGTGGTTAGGGGAGTCGTCCTGGAACCGGAAGGTCGCCGGTTCGATCCCCGTCCAGTCGACTCAGTCGTTGTGTCCTTGGACAAGACACCTTACCCGCCTTGCCTACTGATGATGGTCAGAGGGTCCGGTGGCACCTGTGTATGGCAGCCTTGCTTCTGTCAGTGTGCCCCAGGGCAGCTGTGGCTACAATTGTAGTTTGCCATCATCAGTGTGTGAATGTGTGTGTGCATGGGAGAATGTCTGTAGTGTGAAGCGCTTTGAGTGTCCTGAATGGATAGAAAGGCGCTACATAAGTACAGTCCATTTACGATTACCATTCCATTTACCAAGGACTCCAAAAAGGGTGGCAATCTGAACTGCTGTTTGGCGCATAGGCACAAACAACAGTCAGGACCCGTCCCCCCACACGTAGGCGGAGGGAGGCTACCCTCTCATTCACCAGGGTGAACCCCAATTTATAGCCACCAAGATGGGGGACAATAAGTATGCCCACTCCTGCTCAGTGCCTCTCAGCATAGGCAACTCAGAGTGGAAGAGTGTCCAACCCCTCTCGAGGTGACTGGTTCCAGAGCGGTGCGTCGAAGTGAGTCCGACTATATCTAACCTCTCAACCTCACACACCAGGTCAGGCTCCTTCCCCACTGGAGAGGTGACATTCCACGTCCCTAGAGCCAGCTTCTGTAGCGAGGATCAGACCATCAAGGTCCTTGCCCTCGACCACAGCCCAACACACATTGCACCCGACCCCTATGGCCCCTCCCACAGGTGGTGAGCTCATGGGAAGGGGGACCCATGCCTCCTCTTTGGGCTGTGCCCGACCGGGCTGCATGGGCAAAAGCCTGGCCACCAGGCGCTCACCAACGTGCCCCACCTCCAGACCTGGCTCCAGAGTAGGGCCCCGGTGACCCGCGTCCGGGCGAGGGACCACTGATTCAATTTATGGCACTCATCATAGGGCTCTTTGGGTTGCACTTTGTCTGATCTCTAAGTAAAACATTTAATCCAACCTGAAGATGAAAAACTATCAATTAAATACAGGGTAATATTTTAAGATAAAGATTAACTCAAAAACAAACTAGAAACATAATAAAATATCCTTGAAAAATGTGAGAATACAAATGAGTACAGGCAATTGTTTGTTTACATTCCCTCTGGTTCTATCTTAACTGGGCTGCTCTGCATGGTCTGACGTCAGTTACTGTTCATTAGATTTGTTCACTGGCCGGGTTACGTCACACAGATGAGATTAACTTCAAGTTAATTATTTGTAGTGATTAACTTTATTTTTCTTTCACATGAGTTAAACTCAACAAAAAGAAGCTAACTTTAGCCACAGTCAGCTTGCCGTTCTGTCATCCTGTTCTCTTGTTTTAAGCGTCATACTGCTTGACGGTCCGGTACACCCTTCGGTACTTTTCTTTCGAGTTTGGTGTAGTCCATTATTATTGTTGTGTCTCAAATAAAACTAAAGATTTGTACATTTAATTACAACGCTGCTCATCTACATCACGGTAGCCAACAGGGCCAGGGTAGAGTTAGGCCAAGCTGAGAGCAGTGGCGCCCTCTGCTGGATGAAGTCAAAACTACACTGAAATAAGACTTAAATGGATGTTTTCAATTACTCGAATGGTATGGAGAGCCGTTTTAGCCAAAATTAAATAAATAAATAAATGGGTGAAATAAATTAAAAAATGAGTAAAATAAATCAAAAAATGAAGAAAATGAGTGAAATAAATTAAAAATTTGTTAAATAAATAACTTAGCTTTTTCATGAACCCAATTTTTAATTTATTTGTTTTTTATATTATCGATTTCTCAATTTCTCTTTTTCATTTATATATTTTTCATTTATCCCTTTATCCATTTACCCATTTTTCATTAATCTATTTTTCATTTAACCACTTTTCAATTTCCCTTTTTCATTAACCCATTTTTACATTTATTTATTTTTCAGATTATCAATTTCTCTATTCCCCTTTTTCATTTATCTATTTTTCATTTATCAATTTTTCATTAATCTCTTTATCTATTTACCCATTTTTCATTAATCTATTGTTTAATTTAACCATTGTTCAATTCATTTTCTTCATTTTTTGATTGATTTTACTCATTTTTTAATTTATTTCACCCATTTATTTATTTATTTATTTAATTTTGGCTAAAACGGCTCTCCATAGAATGGAAGGAATTTTAATCTAATAAAACATTATTCGACAATTAATCGTAAGTCGATTGTTTGCATCCCTAATTTCAATAAAATAAATGTTCGCAAAAATTTTACTAATACCATTACTTCCTCTTTTAGCTTGCCCCACAAGTCAAATCAAACCGACCAATCAAGGTTTTGTCAAACTTCGTCCAACCAAGAACCCCCACTTATGTTCCAAACCCTGCCAGTCACAGTTAGGACAAACTTCGCCCACACAACAAGAAACTCACCCTTTGTAATGCAGAGGCCCCCTACTTGCAAAACTGTGTACATCAGCATCAGAGAATGAGAAAAACAAGACTTGGGGCTGAACAATTAATCACATTTGCAATAATCTCGCAATATGTTAAAACAAGATTTTCTAAACACAGGCTACGATTTGACTGGTCACGTGACTTGGGAGTGAGCCGAGCGGAGCAGTGTTGCTAACTTGGCGACACAGTCGCTGTACCTAGCAGCTTTTCAGACCTCTCTAGCGCCTCTTTTTTTCCGACTAGCGACAAATCTGTCGGCTTTTCCCAGTGTTTTTGGAGACTTTTAGAAGCTTTGATAAGCACTTTTCTCTTTTTCTTCTCCTTTCCTCCGCGAGCAGTGAGAGGTGCGGTGAGCCCCTCCCCCCTCCTAAAGCGGTTCGAGTGAAGCCTCATGCAGCAGCGCCCACACACATACACACCTAGCTGCAATCAGCTGAGAGGAGACCGCTGCAAATGAATCTTGCATGGGCAAAGTTGCCACTGCTCTTGCCTTGTTTCTAAAGTGGGATATAATATTTAATGTAATGTTTTTCTCTGGTACTGTCTCTCTAAAATAAATCTCTGGACCCAGCTGTGTTTGACTCAGATCAGTCACTTCGTGACATCTACAGTCTGCAGATTAAATTTAAAATTCTCACTAATTTAATTATGTAATGTGGATCTAAGCATTGAGGTCAATTTTTATGTCAAAGTTTAATTGCATTTCCAAACATATAAAGTGCTTTTCTTGACTTTTTTTTCTTTAACATCTCTCCAGATCAGATCACAATTATTGGCAAACATATTAGGTGATGATGTAATCTAGCAACTTGAGTTTGAATTTCCTAGAAATTACTAAATCGCAATTAGATTATTTTCCAAAATCGTTCAGCCCTACTATGACTAGGACATCTGTGGTTTTTGAAACTCCATCATTATCAGCCCAACAATAAAAATTCCAGCACAACACAGCCAAACCTTTCAAATGGGGACCAAAACAGCATCACAGAGGCAGTAATATTAAGCAGACACCTCAATAGCTGCACATAAACCTTCTGTGGGAAGCTTACATAGAAAAATTTGAATAGACTAGATAAAAAAAAATATTAATGGAATAAAAAACAACTCAAAATGTTGACAGTTCTCCAGAAATTTTCCTGCTCTCGCTTTTTTAACAACTCAAATGAGGGCACTGAGAAACATCACTCAGATCTGATGTGATTCATTAGTTCTGCCTTAAATGATTAAAAATGAAATGTTCAGACATTATCAATCAAGACTCAGACATGGCACGAGTGTGATACTTGAGTTAAATGCACATATTTACTGACCTGTACATCTCCAGGGTCTGTGCAAACTGAAGCACATTGTTGTAGTCTCCAAACAGGCTGGAAATGCAGACAGTAAAGTTCATCTTTTCCTCATCTTTAATTTTTTTCCTGTTTCTTATAGGAATCCAAGTGAGATTAGAAATGTTCTCTGCATTGGGCTGAGTCAGAAGAGTGACATGTGTAGCAGTGCAGTTTTGAGGAATCTGACACATGATGTCTGTAGCAGCAAAGGGAAAACCAAAGTGATCTGAGTGGACTAAGACTGTTGTGGGAGTAGTTTCACCTAAATGTCCAACACAGCAGAACAGGCAGTGGAGCTTCTGGATGGAGTCTCTATGAAACATGCCGATGATGCGTATGTCGAATCCCTTCACTCTCTGGTCCATGAAGGCCGAGACCAGGAAATGTTTGGTGTTCAGCAGAGGAGTGATGGCCTGATCAGAGATGACTGATGGACAAACAGGTGGAGGTCCACGCGGTGTTGGAATTGACTTGTCTTTACTAGGAGTTTCCAGATTAAAGATGAATATTAGAACAACTGTAATGATGATGAAGAAGAGTAAGGTTTGTTGGAAGTAGTTTGCCTTCCCCATTTGGACTCAAGAGACAAAATCCAAACCTGAAACAAACAAGCAAAAAAAATCCATTTTAAGGTTCAAGACACCTTAAAATTCAGAGAAACTGAGAAGAGACACAAATAGATACAACACCAAGGTTAAGTATTACTTGCTCAAGGGGAGACAGCCTCTCTGTAACTCAGTGGCTTCCTTCTCCAAAGGTACAAACATCCTTGCAACAATTATTAATACAAAGCAAAAGTGGGTGATTACAATTTTCACATTTTTCTGTAACATGTGAACAGCTTTTTATAAGGTAAAAATAATAAAACAAAGTCTTTGTCAGCAATGATTAGACATGTTTCTTTATTATTGCCATTAGTGATTATCTCAATTTCGGCTAAAAGAATTGACAAAATCCTACACACTGTGCCTTTGCCGCTTTCGAAGCATCCTGGGCCTCCATAACACCTCAGTAGTGCCACAGGCTGATTGCCTCCATGCCACGCCGCACTGAAGCAGTCATTTCTGCAAAAGGATTCCCAACCAAGTATTGAGTGCATAACTGAACATAATTATTTGAAGACTGACTTTTTTTTTGTATTAAAACACTTTTTTTATTGGTCAGATGAAATATGCTAATTTTTGAGATAGGGATTTTTGATTTTTCATAACTTTTTTGCCAAAATCCTCAATATTAAAACAATAAAAGGCTTGAACTACTTCAGCTAGTGTGCAATGAATCGAAATATATTAAAGTTTAACGTTTATCAGTACATTACATAAAATTAACTTTATCATAGGGCTGAAACGATTCCTCGAATAATTCGAGTAATTCGATTGCAAGACATCCTCGAGGCAAATTTATCTGCCTCGCAGCTTCATAAAAAAATACATACTAATGAGCGCACTTTTGTCTGCCCGGAATGTTATTTGTGTTACACACAATGCTACGATGTTAGCGCTTCCGCTGACAGTTTACACTGTCGACGTGTCACACGTGTGTGCTTGCTATGCGCTACATTTAGCTTTAGAAGAGTGCAGAAACGAAGCGCTCAGAAAACGAAAAATTACAAAAAGCATGAGAACATTTAAAACTAAACAGAAAAGACAACAACGAGCAGTACGCTTCACATCCGCCATGTTTCTGCACCGGAACAAAAACAGCTGCTGCATGTACCGAACGTGTCAGGAGTTTTTTTTTTTTAAACAGGAAAAGATTACTAAAAATCAAGCCTGACTCAGCATTATTGCTGTTTTACAGCAGGTTCCTGTTCTGCAGCACATAAAACACTCAGAATTACAGCATCACAATCACATCATTATACACCATAGACACAAAGACAAACAAGCATACCAAATTTCAAAAAGGCAGCATTTGCAAAATAAGATGTCTAAATATGAGCACAACAAAAAGTGTCCAGCAGATGGCAGACAAGATTCTTCTTAAAGGGCTGTAGTTTTGAAATGGACTTTATGTTTTGAGGAATGTCATTCCATGCTTTAGTATAAACATAGAAGAAAGACCTCTGGCCGTAACAGTTTTTAAAAGTTGGTAATGTCAGTTATACTTTTGTAACAGATCTAGTTGAATGACCACCTCCAGAATTTGATTTGGGCAGCAATGCACAGAGAGTTCCATAATTGGCACCTTGCGTCTGTTTTCAGTTAACAGGTATCGTTCACGTTCCCTTTGGTTACCTAAATCTGTGATAATCTGTCATGTTACAGATGTACAAGGAGGAGGTATATTTAAGTTAATGTTATTTGTGCTGACTAATCATGGTGACCTGGCAGGTTTTACAGAATTCAGAACTCTTACAGAATAGTTGTGTTCTGGTACATGCAGACATTAATACCACAGAGGAAAGTAAAGACACCAGATATAGAGATGTGGATAAATTTTTAATCCAACACCAATATTAAACCTGACAGCGGATTCCAAAAGAACATTTCAAACCATACAAAATAACTCCAAAACCATGTGATTATCTGAAGTATGAGGGAAGTTATTGATGTTTGTTTAGGTGAAATCAGCTCATGTTTTCTTGCTGCAGTTCACAGCAGAACCAATGGGGCCTTTGTGACCATTTCACCTTGCTGTTTTCTAATTTTGCTCATAACTTCCTCAGTGTTCAAGATATCGCCATGAAATTTTAGGAAAAGATTCCCATTCTGGTTTTGTAGGAAGCATCTTGTATCCTAAAAAACTAATAAAACTTATTAATAGCCAAGTCAAAAGTAGCAGAAAAAGGTGTAAATTAACATTACAAGGCAAACTGTAGCATCAAATCAACTTAATGTGTCTTAGAAAGTAAGAAAATTAAAACTATTTAAAAACCATGTGGACATCTGTTTTGTAAACAAAGCTCCTCAACCAATGACAGCGTGTTAAATGTGTCATGTGATGAAGACAAGCATCAAAACACTTTGCAACAAGTGCTGTTCCGGATTTTAAAAAAACATACTTCGACGTTTCAAATCATTATCAAATTTGGAAGAAGGGCAGATAAAATAATGTTCTTCATGGCAGCTTCTCTCTTTAAGGGGTCACTAGAAAAACTCAGGTGATTGATCCTCTTTTCAAAAAATTGTCTCTTCAAAACGCATCAACAAAAATTAAAAACTCAAAGACGAGGCTGTAGCTAACTACCTGACGGCAGCCCGATTTGTTGAAATTTGTAGAAATAACGAAGCAGGAGGAAATTGAAAGCAAACACACCGAGCAGCCTCGCAAAATCTGGTCACAGCAGTTTGGGAAGAAAATGGCAGCAGCTGCTTTCGAAATGTCAACATCCCTAGTTTATAGAAATTGTTTGTAGTGATAACATTAAGTTTCACCATTAATAAAAAATAATAATAATGTTGATAATGTTATACTGTACATGAACAACTTCATTATTGTCAATTGCTCCCTGTTAACTCAGCAACACCAGCTGGTCACAAAATATTGTTAATTCATTACAAATCCTAAAAAAAAAAAAGAAAAAAAAAAAGAAATGTACACCATACCCAAACACATTTAAATTGACTATACAAGGCACAAAAACACACCCTAAAACTAAACACTACATTTAATATGACTGTATAATTTTATTTTCATTGCAGCTATAGGAGCACCAGCAGAACAAAGTGAGTCTAGGAGGGTTCAAATGCTGAGCCCCCAGAAATTTCTGAAAAATTATACTCAAATCTCTGCATTTTCCAGCTGTTTGAAGTGCATAAAACCTTTACAGTATGATATGGTATTTACTGTAAATCATAGCCTACATGGTCTTTGAGCTGAACTTTATCTAAGATCCTATATTAGATCCTTATTTTGTTTTTGTTTTGGAAAGCTCTGAGAAATTTACTGACAGAAAAACTACAAAAGAAAATAAACTTGCCCTACACTGTTTGGTCCAGTCTTTATGGTGGCTCTCCATTGTGAGCTGTGAAACTTCTATTAGGATGGTCAGATCCTGACAAAATTAATGTGTGATAAAAAGCACAGTGAAAAGAAAGACAAAAATAAAACTAATGAGAGCTTAAAGATATTTTAAAAAGGTGTTTAGAGAAATGAAGCCTAGGCGTAAATTCTGGAAGACTCGTCTCACCTCAGCTGCTTCACTTGCTGCGTTAGTGCCCAGCTGCAGCTCATCATCAGCGCGTGCCTCACTTCACAGCAAGTACCAATCATCATCATCATCATCATCATCATTCTTCTTCTTCTATTGGTTTTTTATATGGCAGTTGGCAAACAACTTTAGGTGCATTACCGCTGCCTTCTGAATTGGAGTATGGATCAGAATCTAATTCCTATCCTTATATTATCATACATACATGCATACTGTATCTAGCTAAACATAATTTTATATAT